CCGAGGAAAGAGGCCGCAACTCAGACCGAGATACGCCAAATGAAAGCAGCCACGCAGACCAAAAGAAGAGGAGGAAAGAAATGTAATAACCAGAATATTAAATGTAAAAAAATGTAATAAAAAAAATAAATAAAATATTACAAAAAAGAATCTTTAAAACGCCGCAAAACTCAACTCATTTGCGCCAAATTAAATTTGGCGCAAATGAGTTCGTAATTTGATTTCTTTATGAGTCCTACTACCATAGTCCTTGGATATACGCTTACATCTGATCCTGTGTCAACGAGGAATCTTTTCTTGGTCTCTCTACATGTGACGAAGAGTCGACAAATCTTTTGAGATGGTTGATCAATTTCCATTAGTGATTGCCCTGAGTTGTTTTTTTTTTCTTCCGTTTGGTAAGAACAAGGCTCAGTGCATTTTTTTGCTTTCTCTCCAAATCGATTATGATAGAAGCAGTATTTTTCATTGAATTCTTTTTTTCTGGAGGAACTTCTGCTCCTACTCTGATTTCTCCATCTACCACCTTTTCTTTCTCTACTTCTTGAGAGATGCGTGGTTAAATTTGCTAATTGTTTTGTCAATTCTTGTACCTGCTGTTCCAAGGTTTTTTTTGGAGTTGTCGAGGTAGCAGCAACTACAAGGGTTTTGCTAGACATTTCATGGATCCGGTCTGCTTGTTCTGCAACATTATTCAGCGGATCTTCTAGTCGTGTAGCGAGGACCATCTGCATTTGATTCGGAAGTCTTCCAAGCCATAGTGTTCGTAGAAGGGAATCTGGAACATTATTTCCAGCAAGTGTCCGAAGGTGTCGAAGAAATTGTGACGGTTTTCTGTCTCCTATCTCTTCTAGTTCGAGCAGCTGTCGGGTTCTTTGTTCCTGAGAGATTGACAATCTCTGTATCAGTGCTTTCTTGACTGCTTCATATTTGTTCGTTGCCGGTGGTTGTGTAATAATATCTTTTATCTCTTTTATTTGTCGAGAATCCAATTGCGAAAGGGTGCAGGCATATTTCGTTGAATCCGCAGTAATTCCACTTATTGTTAGTGTGAATTGTCCTTCAAGTTGGGCAAACCATAGTTCTGGCTCTTCATTCCAGAAAGCGGGGATCCTGACGGAAACTCTATTTATGACTTGCCCTTCTTCATTTATGATGACTCTTTCGTTGCCTTCTTCCATTTTTTAATCTTTTTTTACGCCTGCGTCGGGGTCA